GTCAGCACCGCCATACCTCTGATCACTTCCTATTTACTACTGAGGTGATCTCTCCTCCAGTCGTCAGCCAACACCTATAAAGCAAGAGCTGACTCAGCCGCTAGCCCATATTTCTTCACCGCTATCCTGTGCTCGACCACAATGATGGTTCCCTTTCGGTATCACTATAAATACGAGGTACTATTCTAACAAAAACCTTTTTTTCTGAAAAAGGTTCACAAACCTGATCTAAAGATTCTGCTTCTGCAATTTATACCGCATACACACAAGAACTCATAGTTCTTCACTTTCCTCACTCAAGTTCAACAGCTGACTTGATCATTAGAGGAACCACGGGGTAATTAGTCTCCGTCCTCTCACGAGTTTCTATATGTGTAGTCTTTTCAACAACTCAGCTCGGGACTAGATATTCGGGGAAGGAAACGGCCCCTCATCAACTTCACCCCTATCCAGCTATAGATTTAATTAACCGTGTGATCATTTAACATTAACAGTTTGGCCTCCACCGTGAGGCTACTTTCTTTTTCGAGAAAACATGTTGGGTTCTGAACAAGGGTTTGGTCAGCTCCACCCTATAGAACCACGCCAGAGCTATGTTACTCGAGTCCAGGTTGAAGAAACAGCTCAGAAGATTTCTCAATCTCTCCAAGAGCAATTCACTACCTTTACTAGCAAACTTCTCAGTTGACTTTCGCAGCCACAACAAGCTACCTCAGCTATGGCCCTACCTCCTAGAGACCTACGATCGGAGACTCACCCTCCTCCCAGAGCACAGTAAATAGTCCCGCCTCAGACTGCTCATGCTGCTGCCAAGCAGTTAGGGGGTCGTATCGAGCACGCAAGCCTACCACCTCGATGGTCGACTCACCCTGGAGAGCATCACCGATGTCTTCTCTCTCATCAAGAAATCACCGGTGAGAGTCCTGGCCCAGGTCACATTGGGACCGCACTAGGGGAGTGGTCTCTAAGATTCTCATCCATCACCGTGCTTCTCTAGCCCCTTCTGCTACCATATGGGACTTTGACTATGATTGGGTGTACAGACCGGTCGCAGAAGCCATTGGGGGGAACAACCCCCTTTCAGATGACCTTATGAATACCCATGTGAGAAGTTCAAGATGCCTCACGTGGAGAAGTAGGAGGGCTAGCAAGATCCCTCCAAGCATGTTCAGAACTACTATAACGTTATGAGCATGCTCCAAGCTTTGGAAGCAATAATCTATCGATGCTTCCTCATCACTCTTTTAGGGAGTGGCAAGCTCTGGTGGAACGCTCTTGAGAAGAAGTCCATCAGCAGCTTCCAACAACTCAGCCGAAAGTTCATCCATCACTTCCTAGCTGACACCAAGCAGATGTTGCCCCCTCATGTGTTGATTCAGATGAGGCAGGGTCCCGGAGAGAGCCCTCGAACCTACTTCAAGAGGTTCTAGGCAAAGAGGCTGGAGGTCAATGACCTAGGGAGTGCAGTTGCTATGTTTGCACTCGTGGTCGGCTTGCAAAGCAACGAGTTAGCCGACTCACTTGCCAAGAAGCATGTCGCTAATTATGAGCAACTGATGGCTAAAGCCCATGGGTATACATACATGGAGGATGCCCGAGCCTATAAGGTGTCAGCTAGTGCTGCAGAGGCTTCCACAGCCACAACTTCAATGGCACCAACAGTGCCACTTGCCCCATCGACTCCAGTAGTAGTATCAGTGGTGG